TGTACAAAAAAAGAGAAAAGAATCTTCATCCCTAGAGACACCTACATACAGATGAAGCGATGATCTCAGAGGTATGATGGGAGGGGAAAAAGTGGGACAATTTTGTCCAAGAAATGAAAATTGTTAAAGCTAGGTGATTATACTGATGTTCAGTCTATTTTTCTGTAACCTTTTGTAGATGTTTGAAATTCTTATAATAAAAAAGTAAAAAATAAGGTCGGTTATGAACAGAATAGACAGTGCAGTTCCACTTTGGCTTTAAAAAAGTTGCATGCGCACATGAATACAAAAAGAGCAGACGGGAACGCATCCAAGTGTGTACACGCCCTTGATTCTCTTTGGGTTGTGGCACTAAGTGTGATGGTATTTTCCTCTATGTGCTTTTGTGTATTTTTAAAGTGTTCTGCAATGACTACGTGTTGGTTTTGTGATAGGTAGAAAAAAATCCCCCCACCCCCCGCAAAAGTTTCCATTAACCAAGCAGTTCCACTCAATACTAACACAACGCAAAACGTGTAAGCCTGTCCTGGGGCTCACGGCCCTGAGGCAGCTGGGAAAGACCATGAATTGCCTGGGCAGCTCTCCTAGGGCAGTCCCTTGGACTTCTGCCCGAGGGCATCTCAGAACCCTGGCACATGGACATTCTAGAAGCTGCCCAGACTGTGTGGGCTTAATCTGGAGCATTCACAAAACCATTCATAAAGTGGATGGTCTGAAAAAAACAAAAACAACTCTGGGGTGAGAAACTGAGATCCGACCAAGTTTGCCACTTCAAATTTAGATGGCATTTGTGTTCACCAGGTCTTCATCCGGACAAGTAATTTTTAAAAAGAAATTGGCAGTGAACTGGAAAATGAACAGTGCACATTAAAAAAAAGAGAGAATTCTGAGACCAATTCCCTTTACTACATAGATTTGTAAGCTTCCAAAGAACGTGGCATTTAGGGGCATAAAAATGGCACAATAATAACTCACCATAAAAAAAAAACTTTCCCCAAACAATCCAAAAGTAGGCAAGCAAAAAGTAGGAGGTGCTCCAGAGACTTATGTAAACTCTTAGAAAAGCTGAAAAGGGAAGATTTTTAAATAAAAAATATCTATCACGTGAAATTACTCAACAGGGAAAATCAAATCCAGCTTTGGCGATGCTAGAAGATGACATGGATAAACACAATCCATCTCCAGGAGACTCTCCCTCTCCCTCCCAATTTCTAAAACTTTGTGCTTCTATCACATACTAACTTAGATTGCATTTATTTGTAAGTATCTTATCTCCGCTACTAGATTTTAAGCTTCCTGAATGCAAAAATCAAGTCCTTGAATCCCCACAAGTTTGTAATATCAATGAGAAGAAATAATGATGAATGACATATTACATATAATGACATATCTATCATTCTCAAAGAATTATTGAAAATCCAAGAAAAACACAGCTACGTCACGGTGACACTGGCAAGAGAAAATGCCTGCCTAGAGATAAATCAGCAATAGCCAGGAATGCCCTCTTTTTAAGAGATTAGATGTTAGGCGTAAAGGGGTTTAGATAGTGTCATTATGTGTTCTTGAAAAACATTCTATTCTGCAAAACTGTGCACTAAAAATAACTGGACTTACAGGGAATAGTGCTCAATACCTATGAAACTTTGCAACTAGAGCAGTAACAAAAACATTAACAAGGGGCTGTCTCTGGAGCCGAGTGGTTAAGTTCACACGTTCCGCTTTGGCAGCCCAGGGTTTCACGGGTTTGGATCCTGGGTGCAGACCTACCACCGCTCATCAGGCCATGCTGAGGTGGTGTCCCAAAGAGCAGAGCCAGAAGGACCTACAACTAGAATATACAACTATGTACTGGGGGGCTTTGGGGAGAAGGAAAAAAAAAATTTGGCAACAGATGTTATCTCAGGTGCCGATCTTTAAAAAAAAACAAAAACCAACAAACCATTAACAATACTACTTAAACTCCTAACACAGTTAAACCTCTCCTGCTGTGTGTACCCAACATCCTCAGCAGCCTGAAAGCCTGGGCTCCTGCTGCTTTGAGATGTAGGTCGTGGAGGGTATTCATTTCCAATAGAGACTATTTTCATAAAAACTAACCCAAGGATTATTAATCCATCGTTTTTCACTAATCCAGCGTTTTAATACAGAGGGAATGTCTCTGCAGTTTCTTCACTGGCACTAGTGGCATTTCATGAAAGGTACTGTTTATGTGAAAGAAAGATATTTCTGCAGATTTTCCACTTATATTATGCTAAGCCTGATTCTTAATGGTGAGAAATCCAGTCTTTGATTGTTACAAAATACTAATGTGCTGGGAAAAATCATGCTGGAACCAACACAACTTCTGGGTTATATTAACATCATTTCTGAATGCATGTGAGGTAATTATGTCAAAGAAATACGTTTAGCAGAACAAACAGACTGGTAAGTGGCTAACCCAGGTACCGGCATACGTGACCTGAGTTTATAGAAGGAGTACTTGCAATAGTGGAAATGATGACAGCTAGCAACAGTTATTGAGGCTTACTAGGTAGCAGGCACGATGCTAAACACTTTATATGGATTATCTTATTTATGCTTCACTCTGACTCTATGAAGTAGATAAAGAAACAGATATTGAATAAGATTAAGTATTAATTTCTGCCCAAGCTTACCAAGCTGTTAAGTGGTGAAGCCGGGACTTGAACCTAGATCTTTCGGACTCTATGGCTTCAGCTTTTCATAACCACAATGAAATAATATTTCTACCCAATGAAAGTGTGATTTTCCAATAGTAACTGCAATGTAGCTCCACGCTCTTTATCCAACTGGTTCATGTAGAGAGAAACGTTGACATGATGGATGCACCTAGAAGACCACTGAGCATTGGAGAGTGCTCGTTATTTTTCCAGATTTAAGTGTTCTGGCTAGGATGTGAGGGAAATCTTTGGACATCACTAGGGGAGAATTCCAGAAGGGTGACACCTCTTTTTCAGTTCTTTCCAGCTGGGTCAGAGGCCGGCTGTGAGGATTCAGGCTATGCAAGGGCCTTGGAATGGACACAAGGCGCACATCTACATTCTGCACAAGACATCAGACTGCACGGGGTTGGCGTGGAGGGAATTATGACCCGGGGAATCATACCCAACGGGAGCCAGGACTTCTGGCATGGATGCCAACAAAAGAGTTCTGGAGGAATTCTGACTCTTTAGTTCATTTAAGTTCTATTTAGCAACTATGAATTATGCACTCACTATGTGCCTGGAATTAGCTATGCCAAGTGTTGAGGCTACAAAACGGACTAATCCATCCAGACCTCACAGGCCTGTGGAGCGAACTGCAGGCATTTCAGTGAACATACTCTTTGTCAGGCGCTCTTCTTGGCTCTTTACATGAATTAACTCATTTAATTCCCGTAACCCTAAGATATATGGTCTAATATTCTTCCTATTTTACAGGTGATGAAACTGAGGTGCAGAGAGGTTAGGAAACTTGCCTAAGGCCACACAGCTGGTGAGCAATTCGGACCCAGGCTGTTTTTGAGTGCAGAGCCTACATTCTTAACCTCTTCCCTGAATCTCTCTCTAGTGGAGGGAGACAGAGGAGTTAAAGAGTTGTCATGTGAGGCGATAAGAAAAATCATAGACATATGTACACAGGGGAACACGCGTAGAGGAGAGAGTGACAAATTCTGCTTCGCGTGGTGGGGCGATGGTGCTCTGGGAGGAGGGCCAGTCCAGCGAAGCCTTCATCGCAGACGTTGACAGCTATCAGGGACAGCAGATGGAGCAGCACGGACAAAGACACGGGGGCGGGAAATGGCCTGGCACGCTTGCAGTTTGCTGTTGTTGACACAGAAAGTAAACAGGGCAGCGGTGGCAGGAGATGAGTGCACAGTGGTAGAAAGAGGCCAGACAGAGAAGAATTCAATTCTATGAACTGGCCGTACCATGGAGTTTGTTTTTAGGTGGGAAATACTGAAACAGGTTTTAAATGGGGGCTGGGGGGGGGGGGATATAACCCGATTTGCTCTTTCCAGTCTCGCTGCAGTGTGAAAGATGGAATGATGTGGGGGGTGGGGTGGGCAGAGAGGGCAAACCTAGAAGGAAGGGCTCCACTGAGGCCACTGTAACCACAGCCCCAGTGAGAAGCCAAGGCACGGCCACGGAAACGGGGAAGGAGGGTTGAGCAGAGGGATTCTCCGGAGGTCAGCAGGACTTGATCAGGTCGGGGCTGGGGAGGCAGGGGGCATGTTTCTTCATTAGAGTAAAGCCTGATCCTCTGAAAGCCCTCGCTGTGGGACTCAGGTCAGCTCGGGACCCTTGCCAGCGAACTTGGAGGGGCACTGCATTTTTAGACATGTGGAACTCGACTGTGCTTAATACCTAATTCCCCGTATCATTATTGTCACCTTCCTTCCTGTGTTGTCAGAAGCTCCCCCTGGAGAAAACAGCAATGCTCGACTCTGCTGATGATTATCAGTTTCATAACATGTCACCCACGGCCGCAGAGCAACCGTGCGTCTTAGCTTGGGAGGCCCACTGATGGGTAATTTGCCCTGGTGCTCCTGTACGGCAATAATGATCATTTATCTCATTTTACCTTATTTCTTGAAGTAACATTCAAAGATGGATAAATCAGCCCATTCCTAAGACTGCTGGAGAAAACCAAGAACCAAAGGCCACCAGGAAGATACACTTCCGTGCTTGCAACTCCCTCCTCTCCCTTACCCGGCCGGCACCTGCTTTCTGCTTTACTCCAGCCACCAAGTGGGCAGCTCTGGAGCTCTGCGGAGCCTGAGGATGCTCAGGCGCAGAGCCCACTCAGCTAAGGGCGAGGCCACAGCTGGGAGGATGACTCATGCTGCAGCCAGAAAGAAAACAAATGGTTGCAGAAATTTGGTGGCAATGGGGTAACGGTGGGGTGAGGAGATGTGGAGAGGCCACTGCTTTTTCCAGGAAATTGGTTAGTGAAACACTTCTGGTGGGAAAGGACTAAAAAAAAAAAAAAGGTCCACTTACTGATACAAGAAATCAGATCATTAAATCTTTCCTTAGGAAAGAGGGGGTTTTCCAGCCCACGGAAATAGAGCTTCAGAACGCCAGCAACTGAGTTAATATCATGGTTATTCTGGTCGTCAGCCAAAGGATTTTCACCTGAAAAAAAAATTCGTTATAAGCATAGTGCTTCTCTTTTTCTCCTCTGAACAAAAGTACGTTTCTATACTCACACACACACATTTCTATATATACACATATCTTTTAATTACACTTTATGTACAATTATATGGTACTAAAATGAAAATAATTGGTTTAGATATCCCACCCCATGATTAAAGTAAAAATAGTTGGCTAAAATAAAGCTTTTTTTATCGTATGCTAGCAAATAATCCCTTACAAGTTACCCAAATCTTAAAATAAAATATTGTGGGATTTATAATTTTACCTAACTTTCTTTTTTAAAGCTAAAATCTGTAATCTTAGTTTGACATGAATTCAAATACGACATTGTGTGTTTCTTATCCTACTGGGGAAAAAACCCACAATATAAGTCTGTCTGACTATGCTATATGGATCAGCAAAATTTATCAGAAATATTATAGGATTTACCTAACTGTGAATATCTATAATTAAGGAAATAAGTGTTTCCCAAAACGGCAGGGTTCTGTTCACAGCACATTTGAAAGCTGCTTTCAGCAACGGGAAATTTTGAAATCAGACAGAGAAATTTGAAAATGTACCCTTAGGAATTTGTATAAAAAGTGGAAATTTTAAAAATATATCATAAATACGAAATTATATCCTTTATGGTAAGCAGTTTTAAAATACTAGGTAACTGGCCTGGCTACACCACCTCCCTAAGAATTAAATTGAGATAAAATCCTTAAGAAGTGCAACGTAATATGCAGCCTTAAGTCAAACTCCATTTCTTATTGACAGGTCTGCTTTTTCTTTCTCTTCTAAAGTTCATAAAAATTGTACATTGCATTTTAACTTATTTTTTTTTGCCTGTTGGGGCAGTTTAGTTTCATGGACCTGTGGTTCCTTTTTCTCTGCTCCTAGGGCAGGAAATCATTGAACATGAATTGACCAAAATGTTTTTTTTTGGCCCACTGTGAGAAAGCCTCACCCAAAAAGATCACTAACACATAACAAATACCAGGGGAATTTCCAGGGAAAATAATAAAGCCTTTGCCTGTGGTGGCTGGCACAGGAACCTGACGTTTTACTACACTTTCAACTCATCCTGAATATGGTCAGAGTCTTGGAATACTTTGCTGCTGCGGGGGGAGGCTGCGCTGCTCTCCACTTCGTATCAGTCAGAGAATCGGGAACAGGAAAAACCACCTGGCTCCATTTACCTCTTCAACTCAGGTTTCAAACTTTCAAGGGCTCTGTGCCAAGTCTGGGCCAGGGGAAACGGGATGGAGGGAGAGCGAAGGAGGCCTTGTCTCCACGCCGTGATGGCCCTCCCTCCGCTCTCTCGGCTTGACTTCCAAGCACAGGAGGAATGGGCAGATGTATCCAGAAGCAGACACAACACAAAGCATTACAAGTGGAGAGCATTAATAACTCGAGCCGTCACTACAGAGCTGGGCCTTCTCATGGATTATACCTATCTCACAGCGATCCTGGAATTTTGCAGATGAGGACCGAGGCCAAAAGAAGAGACGAGTAACTTGACCCGAATCACACGATTAGTAAATGAAAGAGTCTCAGCTGATTCCAGGTCTGCCTGCACTGAAGTGTATGGGTTTGCGAATCATAATGTGCTAATTAACAGTTTAGGAGGACTCATCTGACAGCCAATTGTGAACAAGAGTAAGACACTGACTAAGGCCACAGGGAAGGAGCCTGGGGATGGACAGAAGAGGAAGGAAAGAGGGAGTGGACACGAAGCTGGGAGGCGTTGCCTCAAACACCTGCTGTCTAGGCCCAGGGCTGTTCCTGCCACTCTTCTAGAACCATGCGATGCACCACCTTTGACGCATGTGCTGAAGATTATAAATGCCAATCCTAAACCAGGACACAGAGCTCATACGCTTTTCTATACTTGATAAGGTGTTGGCTTTATGATTTTGGCTTCAATTCTCAGCTATTCTAAATAGCTTAATTCTGAATTCTAAATTCAACATTCAAAATGAAGTAAATACAAAGAGAAGAAAGGTTTTGAAGATACACAGAATGAGTATGCCACTTCACTCCACTGAAAATGATGACTTTTTAACATGGTTTGCTTATAGGGATGGACACGCACTTACCTCTCTCAAATGAATTTTTAATGTCATTGACTTCCACCTGGGAACCAGACACTCTGAAAATCCCCTGATGCTGAAGACCTAAAGAGGATAGAGGAAAAGAGGATGAAACGTCCCATTGCATCCTCCAGTTCCCCTTCTCCCAATAATTAAATGTTAAATGGGAAGACACATTTACTGAAATACTCTTAGTGATTGTTTTTTAAAAGGAGATTTCCGTAGTTTATGGCTTACCATAGAGATTGATGAACCGAATACAGCTTTCCACAATGAGGGGGATAATCTGGCCTGAGTCCTGGGTAAAGAGATGGAAACCAGTTAACCGCAAAGGAGATCACACGTAATCATCACACATAATAATAAAGCTCGCAGTTTAACCCTAATTAAAGAATGATTTTTACTCTTTTGGATAATGACTTCCAAATACACTTCCTTTAAAATACACCACAAGGGCCAAAAATAAAATTATATTTAACCAAAGGTATATTTCAGTTCTGGAGCAAACCAAATTAAACACATTTAAGGCAATCCTGTTTCAACTCACTCTGCTGTGCTTAGATGTCAAAGCGAATTCACCTCTTTTACTTATATTTAGGCTCACATACCAACATGAATACATGAATCACTCATTTTTTTAAAGGTTACTTTTACAAGTAATTAATCCAATGGATCCAAAAAGAACTCTGCATATTCGAACCGTGTCATCTTAGGACTGACTGGCTGTACTAATCACTAAACACAACCTTCCAGCCACTGCAGGATCCTCTGTGACCTCTCTGATCTAGATGACCACGGTTCTAAACAGGCTGACACCTTTCCAGATGCATGATATGAGAACTGCTTTACAGATGCCTTTAATGTGTCATGTATGCATTTAGTTTGCATCAGAACTTACTCATCCTTATAGATTTCTCATTGTTATTTTTTCATGTTTTAAGGGTTAAGAAAAAAACTGTACAAATGCATATCCCATAAGATCCCTTCTCTTAAGAAGGAACGTGTTTTGGCCTTCTTTCCCCACATCTTGTAGTATAGTCAGTGCACTCTGCTGAACAAATGTGAATTCTGGAAATGTTTTAAAACACGTGTAGGATGACAAATGAGACGAAGGAGCTGCTGAGGTCACAGTTAAATATGCATCAACGCCATGCACTCCACGTAGTTAAAGACGGTTACTGACTATGGAGTTATTTTTCATGGGCTTTTAAGACTCTGCTCTTTCAGGAATTAGATCTTCAAAGGAAACATGAAGGTTCAAAATGATTAGCTGACAGCGGGTCCTAATTCACGAGGAACTTTATTTTGAAACACAAGAATTTGGTTGTCTTAACATATTGGAACAGTTCAGAATCCACTAACTTTCAATTAAGCGACTGGGGAAGGACCAGGAATAATGCAGCTCAGCAATTTAAACTCTCCACTACTCCTAGAACGGGCAAGCTACTTCTGGACGAATAGTTTTATTTTAGGTTTTACAACAATCTAATCAGTGTATATACCAGTTAATGGTTCAATTACTTCTGGAGGTTGTACTAAGTTTCTCTAATTAGTGAATTTGTTTTAGGAGCATAAGCTTTATTAATTTCTTAAAGAAAATCCTTGAGAATAAAAACTCTTTTCAGTGTGGACTAGCTGGCTTAAGAATAGCAAGGTCATTACATCAAAATTCTTTAAGATACAAGTGTGGTTTCGGGGAAGCAGGCTTTATTCATGTAACACTGTAATCTACAAGAGCAACAAATATTCAAATGTAAGTGATAAAAGGAGATATTAGCTCACATCTCTGCTGAACTTAGTATTAAGACAAAAAGAAAAACAAAGAACAAAAGGTCATTAAAAGGAAAATGTTTGCGCTAAGAGAGTTCTAAATAAAAACGTCCTAGCCTTTCACACTATTTAAAAAATATTTTCGTCTCCACATTACTCAGGTAATTGCCAATCTTTTAGGTAATATTGGTATTTCATTCAGATAGAATGAATTTTAGAGTCAAAAAGTAATGCGTGTGTGTGTGTTTTAATTTAATTTCACGGATGCCAGATGCTTTGGTAGGAAACATTTTACAAGTGACACAATGGGCTGTGCCCCACCTACCATTGACACAAACCCCTTTGCGTCTTGCTTTCTCCATGGGAAAAAGGAAAAATGGTTTTGTTCTTGCTGCCTTACAGTGATATTGTGGGGACCTCAACTGACCAGGTGCTTTTCACAATGTAGAGAGATCTTCTGTATCTGCTATTTTACATCTATTACCAAAGATTCTTTAATATGCCATCTGGGAAGCTGGAGAGCCCACAAAAGTGAATTTTCCGTGATGACTGGTTCACTCCTCTTTGGTACCTAAATTTGGTTTCCTTTAACGGTTCTTAATGAACAATCTTTAAAAAATATAATACGTGCTTTCCTATCATCTTAAGCAGTTATTCTCGTACTGTGTTATGAAATACCACGGAATCATACATTGCTTCTTTGAGTTTTCTCTATTCTTTCTCTGCCAGGCCATCGGCTGCACAGCACAGTGCTTTCATTTTATCGTTCCCTTCTGTCCATCTAATGTGCCCCTGCTTAGAAGCCCTGGGCTGGAAACTAGATAATCAGATTTGACAATAATTTTATATTAAATTAGACCCAATAAGGCTCTTCTGGGTTTAGGCTTACGGCAGTGGATTCGTAATTGCTATTTAGGTTGTTCAGTGGCTTTTCACTTAATTCCAGGGTTAGGGCTCATTATAAGGCTTCCAGAGGTTTTTAATCTCTCTCTCTATGTATGTGTCTATCTGTCAATCTATCCATACGTATGCCACACGCACACACATTTTTTAAGCATTAGTGCACATATTCAGTAAAAGATCTGTCTCTTAAGAAAGACGCCTGTAACATATTATCATAGGAGGTTATGAATGATGTGGTCTCCTACATAAATCTAGTCTTTAGAAACACTGCAGCTCATGCCATAAAATGTTAGCTGGGACAGTTCTTCTCTTTTCTGTATAATTTACATGAAAGTCCATAATCCAGAATTAAATGTGCATTTGTTATTTAATATCGACTTTGCTTAATAAAAGCCATTGACCCAAATTTGGTATGTTTGCCAAATACATAATGTAAAAACTAAGAGTTTCTCCAGTTTTACTAGAGAAGACTGTTCCTCTTAAAATCAGTGTCTGAGTTCTATAATTCCCTTCTGAGTAAAACTTATTTATAAACTTGTCTAATTTCCAACTGCAAACATTTTTCTTCTAAAGACCTTAAAAAAATCTAAAGCCAAGCATGATTATGATTTGAAAATGACACCAAGAGCTAAAGAGGCTGTGCCCTCACGTCCCTCTAGCACTATACCTGATGTCTCGCGTGCGAGTTCCTTCGTCCTCGGCTAGAAGCATTATCAGAAATACAGGATGAAAAAGAAGACAGAGTAAACACAGCAGAGATTCCAGATACAGACCACAGGGTCTTACAATTTACCCAATATAATGAATTCCGCAAGTCAGGGGAAATCAAAACTCTTGCTGTGCTCCAAGAGCTACCCTAATTATAGACTTTAAAAATGTATTTTGTGCCATCTCATTTGCACGAGTAAAAACAAAACATTTTATCACATAGCTCTTTTCCTTTTTGCACAAATTATGGCTTTTTTTTTTTTTTTTTTTAAGAAAGAAAGAGGGCTTTCTCTTTTGCCAGCATAATAATACCCACATTGATTTCCTCTTCTGATGGCACTCAAACCAAATATTCTTTCCTCTCTGACTTCAGGAAATATTATATTGATTTTCTGGGAAAGCGAAGAGCCCCAGGACAGACTTGGACATAATGACCCGCCTCCTTTGACGAGAGGCTGAGACCATTATAGTAAGAAGCGTGGAGATCAGCCACCTAGATGGCTGGTGCCAGTACCTTGACGAATGTTTCCAAATCCCCATTAAACAACTTAGCATTATACTGGGAGCGGGGTCTGGACTTCCTGTGTTTCTGGGGCTTAGGGGGAACATTTGGAGGCCTAAGGGAAGGGAATATAATTACTGAGAATGGCAGAAATCAAACAATAAACGAAACACCCATAGGTCACATCAAAATCACAAAACACAGGAATTCTTGCGTTCCTTCCCCACCCCCACCCATGGGGAAAAGAGTCCTTCCCCTTTCCCATTCATTTACTTTCACTTATGTATCCGAAATCACACAGGCTATTCATTCAGACTCCTCTTTTCCTGTATCTTGTAGCTAACGTTGGTTTGATGGTTTATTTAAAGATAGTAAGCATCACCAAATGGAATTGCGAGCTATTTGGCCAAGTGCTATAAAGCAAGGTTTGTATTATTTGGCTTACAGGTCACACAGAAAACACAACAGATCATAAAAATTAGGGCTCTGATAGATCCCCATGTGAGAAATTAAATATAACACTTTTAGTTCCAACATAATTCTTCAATGCAAATAACATCACATTTGCTCAATATCCCTCAACTATTAATGGGATTTTATTTTATGCAAAAGTAACTATTAATGGATTATAAGTGGAAAAAACAGAGTTTGATTTCAATGCTATTTCTAGGGGGGAGGCATGAATTGTTATTTCTTCAAAACAAACTATCTCATCACCTCAATATTTGTAGAGCATTAGGATGCACCCATTTATTCTGTTCTGAACTTTCTATCTCCGGTCTGTTTGCTTTGATGGCTAAGCCAGTCTCTCTGACATACGCACAGCCAGTGCACCATGCACTATATTTAGAAAGCCTGCAGCATCTTGATGTGTAATTGGAGACAAGGAACTTCTTCTGTCCTCTTCCTTTAGAGCAAAGAGGGCCAGGATTACCCACCCACCTTCTACAACCGTGCTGAAGGGAACACGTGGAAGAAGAGTCTAAGACCGCTCTCTGGACATTCCACTTCAACTCCTCCTAAGCTGGAAGGCTTATATGACAATGTCCCTCACACTTGGAAATTAGGTAAAGCCCTTCATTAAGCTGCAAACTCTCTAGGAAGAATTACCTTTCATAGTTCATTAAAGTTCAGAAAGGCCAGTTTAGAAACAAAAATCCCAAGGATTATGTGGAAGCCTGACTAGCTTCATAGCATATTACTGTAGCAATCAGGTAGGGGAACAAATGTGCTGATACAGCCTTCCAGAGCCCGAGTCTAAGGCTCTCCCAGCAGGTGGCCCATACGACTAAAGCGGGTACAGCAGCAGCACCTGAAGCCCACGGTGCTTGAGAGGCTAAAGGAGCCTTTGCAAGTGTCCAGAAGCCAATATGGAAACTTCTGCCAGGCAGCATGTCATAATCTGCCACTGCTGAAATTTCTGGAATTTCTTTTATGCACTGAATTCTGTGCCATTCACAGAGGAAAGGATCTGGTAAGTGTAAAAAAACAATACAACTGCCCACCACGGAATTTAACCATATGTGCTTGATTTCACCCACTCTTTTCATTATTTTAGAAGTGCTTTAAAATTAGACTTTATTTTTATTCAGGTATGGCAAGGCCAACAGATCAGAAGACAATTATCAGTGAAAAGACAGTTTGTTACAGTTCCCAAAAGGAAGGGGCCTGCCACTACCTGGGGGGTCAGATGGGGAAGCACCAGGGTGGGTCAGGAGGCAGAGGGGGTGAGGGAAAATGTGGGCAACAGCCTTTGTTGTGGTTCCTGTGGGAAGGAACAGGCAAGGCAGGGTAAGCAGGTTTAGGATTGGCTAGTTTGAATAATTGTGGTGGGCTCTGGAGCTGTCCCTAGTTGTCTGGTACCTGGCCTGTGGGTGATGCAGGAAGGGGCACAGTGGCCCTGAGTGGGAAAGTGGCTAAAGCAGGTGCCGGAGGGTCTGCGCCCTGGGTTGGTTGATTTTTATACAAAAGCTACACCAGCAAGTAAGTCCTTTCCTATCTCTAGGAATTGGCCAGCCCTTAGAGTGGCAGTCCCTCCACAGTCAGCAAGGCCCCATAGTATCCAAGCATCAAATATAGAAACTAGAAAATGTGGTTATGACAACAAGGTCCAACAGAGCTTTACATGTGATGCCATCTGGAGCTGCTGATGGAGCTAAGAACACAGGTTCACTCTGTTTGGTCCCTGATTCGCGGGACAAGCACATCTTGTAGCTGGAGCCAAAGCCTCGGGCGGCGCTGGATAACTGCTCCTCCATGCCTGACAGATGCAGAGGAAGCCCCCGCTGGGACTCATGCAGGGACGTCTTTCGAGTCTTCTCTCATAAGCCTGAAAATTGCCTCTCGCGATGGTTCTAAAGTAGCAGGCAAATGTGAAGATACTGAAGATAGGAGAGGACTCTGAGACTAAACAGACTGCCTGAGAGCTTAGCAAAGTCATCTCGGCGGCAGAGGTGCTTATCCGGCAGACTGGGGTGCGGACGGTTCTGCCTGTACCTTGTACACGTCAGGCGAGCAGAACCAGGGCCACTGAACATCATGCTGGGTGTGGGCCCACCACACAACTTCCTGATAACCTTGCTTCCGGCGGAGGATGCCCAAATGGATGAGAGGAAGCACCAGTCAGACTGATGTGAATATCCAGTCTGTCTGGCAATTACAGCTCTCACTGCCAATGAACATATCTGCATTGCTTCCTTTTTAAAAAAATCTTTTTTTGAAGTGCCTCACATTAATTATAAGTTAGAAACAACAGGTGAAATAGTTGATAGTGCAAAGAGACACTCTAAGTGGACGAAGCTCCATAAGCTGCACATTACTATGCAGAAGGAACAGTCCTCTTTGTCCCTGACATAGGGAAGAAAAATCTCAACACTTTTATATAGTTTAGACAAGTCAGTAGCTGTATCTTTCCAGCTGCTTCACCAAGAAGTCAGAGGGGCTTCCTTTTGAATAAATTGCTCAGCAGAAACATTACAAAACCTTGAAAATCAACTTGCCAATTACTTAACAGACATGTCACTGTTCTACGCCCCTCTTCCCTCAAAGAGAACTGAACTTCAAAAGTGCAAAGTCTTGCTATGTCAATTAGAGTAATTTCCGGCTGTTGGACAAATGTTGACATAAAAAAATAAAAGCTGCCACGAACTTTCCTCAACCCAAATCAGAATCTGCCTCCAAAAAGGCTCTTCTTTACTCAGCAGTGGTTTCAAAATCCTTCCGTGAAAGAAAATGCAGCAGCGTGGTATGGTTGTAGGAGTTCAAAGTTAAATTTTTAAAGGGAACGAAACAGGGGTAGAGAGCTAAAAATCCCAAGAGTGTTCAATACAGCTCTCATTTTTACATTTGTCATAAGGGAAGGAGGAACAGTAAGTAACTAATCATACTTTCTATTCGCTAACAGTGGATATGCACGTAATATTGCTTGTTAATTAAATTATTGAATCAAAAGTTTTAGACTATTTCTAGAAACGTAAATGTTTTGGATTAGACAAGCCAAACCCATTCAATTTAGGTCTTTTTTTTTTTTGCTGAGTCTGCTCATTAAACAGCTTTACAATTCCACCAGGAAACCCTCAGATCTGCCAGAGCAAACATGGTTTTGTGAGAACCCCAAACATTTCATGTTGCTCTGTTTTCTCAAGCCAAAACTATCTTCCGTGTTCATTAACAAAATATGTATATTCTTGTAGCATTTAATAGGTTGCTTCTTGTTGAAGAGAAAAGAAAGTGAGACGCAAGATGAGTTATGAGAAAATATTTTCCTACCTTGTAGTCATATATTCAGCTCTATGACCTGCAGAAAAAAATATGAAAATAAGTAAATTGAATGGAATCAGTGGAATGCATTTGGTGATCTTTTGTATCATCTGTCCCTTATTTTAAGATGTTGAGTATATAATAACTCACACATTTTATGCTGGAAAGCATGAGGACAGCATATAAAGATAGACAAGTAATTCAAAGTAAATATTTCATAAAGTCTATACATAAAGTTTAATAAATTCTATAGATTGGAGATACATGTTTCACTTGGCAATCTGAGGCAGAGAGTTTTAGTTTTTTTAAACCAGAAATAGCTGCTTGATCTTAACTGTAAGTTTAAGGGTGAAATACAAATAAAACACATCCAAGATTCGAACGTTAGTTATTGCCTTGTCTTGATTGATACTCAAGGGGGAGAAGGAAGGGGTCAAATAAGGTTGGGAGAACTCCAGTCCCTTTAGATTAAATTGGTCTTCTTCCTCTAATATGAAATCAGGGAGAGAAGTTGCATTTTATAATCAGAAATGACATTTGCAGATGTTAAAGGACAAGGACATTAAATCATGCGACATTCCACCAAGTTGTAAGCTAAAAGCCTTTCACAGAGTTCTCTGTCATTTAAAACACAAGGTTCTTCTTATACATTCGAGCTTCCTGACTTGTTTTAAAAAACAGCTCTGTATTTTTGTAGTGCTCCTACAATCTGTGCTATTTCAAGTTTGAATGCTTCTGCTCTTTCATACACTGAGGGTGGAGCAGTGGGAATGGGTGTGGAGAGTGAACCATTCAACTGCTTTGTTTGCAAAATGATGATACGGTCCTGAAAGAGCTTGAAAATATAGCTGGTAGAGAAGGGTCATGTTGCAGCACAAACAGGCGAGCCTGGCCCATTACACCATAATGCAGTCATTCAGACGTGTAGGGCAAGGTCAACAGAACAATCGTAGAGAAAGCTGGCTTGTAGTGAATGAGCACTCCCAGGCTGCAAGAGTCTTTTACTCTATTATCTGCTTTTGAATACAAGTAACGAAGTATTTGATGAATATCTATTTACTAAACGGGGCAACGTTACTATCAGAAAATACCTTTCTCAACAGAGACCCCGGCCACTGTAAGTGTTGGTCTACCTATCATTTTAGTGTCATTCCCCTCCTTTTACTGGCCTTCTGCTACTTTTGGGGACATGGAAAAAGAGAAGGTGACACAGAACTCCAGAATAATTTATAGCTATTCATACGTGGGAGAGAAGACCTACTGGAAATGGAGAGGGCAGACGGCGAGCTGAGTGTGGCACGTGGTGCCTTACGGGACATCCTTCAGCAGGAGCTGGCTGTTCAGGGTTAAAGTACAGGGAGAGGATAGGCTGGAGATGAAGATTTAACAGTCACTGCCATTTACGTTGTGTTGGGGCCACAGGAGCTAGCTGAGATCCCCCAGCGTGAGTCAGCAGAAGGAGTAAAGGGTTGAGGGCAGAGAAACTATGTGGCTTGTGCTGTACTGTATGTTGATAACATAAGTATGACATAAAATATGTTAGTAAAGCAATAAAAACAGCAATGATGCCTGATGTTTATCAGACACTGTTCTGAGTACTTTCTACATATTAACTCACAATTTTCACAAGAACCTTATGAAGTAGGTACTATTATCATTCTTTATAGAAGAGCATACGGAAGGTAAGTGAGTTGCCCGAAGTCATGCGGTTAGTAAAGGGTGGGTCTGGCATTAGGGTCCGGGTTGGTTTTAAGTCTAGATCTGAGCTCCCAAGGAATATATTGTAACAATGGAAGTCTGTTTTTCCCCCCAGCAAATACCCTGAAAGATCCTAGGAGAAAGGTAGGTCTTTTGGCTTACACTCCTGTCTGCTTCGTATGGCTAAAGCCAAATACACAATACTGGAGATTTAATAAACTGTTAAATAAATTTAATAAATATCTATAAAATTAAATTGAGTAACAGAGGTTTAATTATTCAAGTGATTCAGTAATAAAGATGCTAATGATAATTCCTTAAATATGAAATACTTTATAACTTTGAAATTTTGCTATTTTTGTTAAAATATCCCAACCAAATATTCTTTAGTTTTAGAAAAGATCATATATAAAATGGCTTAAAATCATTTTTCTCCATCCATCCATAGTTGACAGTATGACATAAAAAATTAAAAACCTATAACAGATCCATTTTGATTAATGAACCAAGAGTAAGCTTTGCAAGAACTATCATTCACAGTATAACTGCCACCACCACATCCATCGTTTTTTTCAGCTAATAGTACTGAGTGTGTCTCAACTGATGAATGAGGTTTTATTTTTTAATCAGTATCATCATTAACAGATCAATAACACACAAGCTTAGAAGAATATGCTTCCCAGAGAAATGTGAAAGCCTCCAGTGGTCTGAGGATTAGATTTCAATCCCTTTCTTTAGAAGGCTACTTAATTATTAAAAACAACAACTACCTCCCCACCGCCCCCACCCCCAGCCATATGGAAGGCAAAAATGACCCATGACCCAGGATGAGCTTGTTGCTGGTACAAACACTGACTCTGACTACTCTTAAAATTCCACTTGAAAATTAGGAAGTGAATTATTTTTCACAACTAAATGTGTTTTATCTCCACAGAGGAAAAGGGAAAACCAAAATATAGTTTGGTGGCAATTTGAGCCCCCAAACTAGATAAAATATTTAAAATGTGCACAGCTCAAACTGAACGAGGCACCCTTGATTTGGTCCCTAATGAATGATTGATGAGGCCTCCTGGCGTTACTTTCCAGTCCTTTTTCTTCCTTAAGATACCAACTACTGCAGTGCTTTTCTAAAAAGCATAATTATTCACAATCAGCTTCTCTTTTGAAAGTATATTTGTGCTCCTACTCACAGACAGACAATGGACTCACTGAGGAAAACCTATTTAATTCCTCTGTCAGGAACCTTATGCACAGGGCTAGAAACAATATAACCCAGAACTCAGCTTTCAGCATTAGATTTTCTGTATTTAGCAAAGACTGCATTGATATTTACACCCCTTAACTCCAAATGTTGTACACAAAGAAGCCAATGTGAACGTTAAGGCTCATTACCAAAAAAGAGAAAGAAAAAATTTCCATGCTTCAGTTTTATGGGTGTGTATAGCTCACTGACCGTGCTTGATTTAACTTCTCCAATTTAAAACCAAATGACATCACCAAAGGATCTACTGGTGTTGCTGAAGGATGAAGAAGAAGATGATGCCTTTGGTCTTAACAACTCCTTGTGTGTTTCTTTCTCTTTCAACCATTTGCAAAGATTTGGGATTCTGAATTTTGACAGTGCCACTTTCAGAGCCCAATCTAGCTGCTCCGCAATGTTGTAAATCAAAGCACTTACTGGGCCACTGGTAGCTTGCCAGGAGCCAGCAGTGAGACAGGCCAAACACATGTCTGTAGTTACAGTGTCAGCTGGGTCCGATCCACGGCCTAATCCCTGGGTTAGGCTCTATTTGTTTTACTATGCAGGCAGTTTATGTAGCAGAGAGCCTAGTATAATTCAGCAATGTGATTTCTACATAAAAAGTCAGGACTGTCCCCAAACATCTCATTTAATCCTGTGTTACTAACTTAATTAGCCAAACCCAGACTTGGATTCCTTCACAAGGGCTCACCGTCGGATTATCTCACTGCGGGACAAGCGCCATTAACTCTCCTAGTCTCCCTGGTGTAAGCCTATTAACGTGAACAGGACTTGCGTGGAAGGCCAGCCCGCTCCCAATGGTTGAGCTAAAAGGGGGGCATGTCCTCCACGCTTGGCTTTTCTCTGGGCAAAGCTGCCAGCGTCAAGCCCAGGCAGGGACCAACAACTGGTGTGCTGCCCAGCCTGCACGTGGGGCATGGCCAGGGAGCAGAGAGGTCTGCACACAGTGGGCAGAGGCCAGCGTGTCTGCTGCCACTGGATGAGGACAGCCAGTTTCTTATGCAGAATAAATCTAGTCCGGTGAAGGCCTGGTACACCTGAACACAGCTGGGTCACTAGGACACCAGAACCCACTGAAAGAAATCCCAAGATAAAGAAAGGCTGGCTTAGAGTTCACAAGGTACAATAGAACCTTTCAGTAGAACTGAACTTTCAGTAGAGACACAGGTCAGTGGCTAAAGTCGGAATCTGGCATATGGATTCAGCAAACTGGCTAAAATAGAGCCCCATCCAATAATGGCATGTCAAATAATATTGACTGTTAGGGCCCTCTCTCCAGGAGACATAAGGGAATCTATGTTGAATGAGCACCATAAAGGCTTCAGAGTGTGACCCCAAGCATAGCAACACGAGTGTGCATGCAACGCCCGGAATGAATGCATCCACAACTGAATCCCCTCCAACTCAGTTTCCAGAGTGCTATCTCCGGTCCTGTAGGGAGGGACTCGGTGCCTGCCAGCATTCGTCTCCACTTACGATAATTTATGCTTTGGTACAATGCTTTCTGCATAAAGGCATTTATGCTTCTGGCGGCTGACCTTGGGGGCACCACTGAAATATCAGGCATTTGTGCAAAATGGAGAAAAGAAAAAAAAGACCTTACATGATACTATTGGGGGAAAAAAGAGAAAAAAAGGGGACATGATTGCTGAAGCATGAAAACTATTCAAAGAAAAAAAGTTGTGTGTGTGTGTGTGTTTTTTAAAGTTCAAACCTCTGTTACAGAAGAGTTGAAAGATGAGCACAGGGAGTGTTCACATACCCTTCAATTGGATTTCCCAGTTGTTAAGATTTTGCCATAATGGCTTTATTTCCTTTTCTTTGGCGTTCTCTTTCTTTTTTCCTGAACTATTTGAAAGTAAGTCTCAGACATTATGACACTCAGCAAGCATTCCTTAAGAATAAGAATGTTATCCTTCATAACCATAATACCATTATCATATCTAGTAAAACTAATACTAATTCAATGGTATCATTCAATATATTCTATATTTAAATTTTCCCAATTGTCCTTAAAATGTCTTTTATAATTTTTGCTTTTTGATTCAGAATCTAATGAAAGTTCACATATTGTGTTGGGTTATTTTATTTTTTAAGACACTTTTTAGTAGTTTAAAGGTTAATTTTTTTTCTAAGTGAAACCAGCCTTTTATCTTAGAATCTGGCATCCTGTCTGTAATACATGGATTCTTAGGTCACGATGACCTTTTGCCATGTGGTCATTCCCTGAGAATAACGGGTCCTGTGGAGGAAACCAGAAGATAAGGTGATAGAAACACTGCTTTATGGGCAAGAAGGTTCTAGAATGTTAGGAGGCAAGAGTTTAGGTCAAGAGCAGCAATCCCTTTTTGGCCTGAGTTACTCACACAACTCAGCCCCCTCATTTCTCATTCCCATCTGTATTCCCGTTTGCTTTTTATAACTTTCAGCAGGATCTAGTGTGAATAAAAGATAATTAAAGTTACAGACTATGAGGCACTTAGGACAGGGACTACATATGTACGTCTGTCTGTACGTATTTATGTATTGATTGACTGACTGAGGAAGATTAGCCCTGAGCTAACATCTGCTGCCAATCCTCCTTCTTTTGCTGAGGAAGATTGGTCCTGACCTAACATCTGTGCACATCTTCCTCTATTTTACATGTGGGACACCCGCCACAGCACGGCTTGAAAAGCGGTGCATAGGTCCACACATGGGATCGGAACCCACGAACCCCTGGCTGCTGAAGCAGAGTGGGCGAACCTAACCACTATGCCACCAGGCCGGCCCCTTGTATTTATTTTTTTCCTTTTAAATTTCATGAAGATGAAGAGAGAAACGATAACATTACACAATCCCCTTTGCCTATAATCCTTTTTCTCCCTCAGTTTTCTTGCCTGTAAAGATGAGAAAATTAATAGCGCGCAGTTAAATATACAGTTCCCAACAATGCCTGGCAGAGAAGGCCTTCTACCAGGGGCAGCTATTGGTGCTGTTTTATTACTATTACCAGATAGAGCAATATACTTAATGTAATCAGATTGCTTCTCAACTAAAACCAATGCCAACGGAAAGAAGAACAGATCACCCAAACTGGTTTAACTGGCTTCTAGGGTTCCAAAACGCAAGAGATGGGACAACAAATACTGGCTCATTAAGAGAAATGAGGGGGGCTGGGAGGGCAGAGAAGGCCGGGAAGGGAAAGAAGAAGTGACTGGGGGTCAGCAGGTGGGAGCAGGTGCTGCTCGTGCAGATTCTTCCACGGTTAGGAGCACCTGCTCTGAAGAGCCCTCCTCAGCACTCCCTCGATTCCACTGTTCTTCCTCAAGGTCAGCGCCAAGGTTACAAAGAAAAGAGTTCCAGGGAGAATCTGATTATTATCGATACAGATAAAACCACATCTAAACATACAGTGTTCACTGTTTCTCAACACGCCAAGTCCCTGCGTCTCAGTCTACATGGAATACATATGAGAAATCCACAAGCCACACCATCTCCCCATCTGTTTCAAATCACTGACCTTCTCCAAGGGTCCTCTGCAACAAGTCATGCTTGGCCTGAAGTTTGGTGATGAGATTACTCCCTTCCAAATACTCTCGGAGTTTCTGAAAAAGGGAAGATTCATTTTTAACTTTTAAAATTATTATTCAATGTCAAAGAACTTCCCACACGGTATCTAAAATCCAGCCACTTTTATCTTCTAGATCCTAGAAGCTTCTACTCACAGTGTGGTCCGATGCAGACCAGCAGCATCAGCCACCACGTGGGAGCCTATCAGAGGGGCAGGCTCTCGGGTCCCTCCCTCCTCAGACCTCCTGGCATCGGAACCTGCCTGGTGGAGTCACCTTCTCCTGGTGACAAGTTTGTACATTCAAGTTGAAGTGTACGCTGTTTAAGAGTGTTGTGTTTCAGAGCATTCTGTAAATTTTCCTTGCTAAATTTGTTTGCATATCTGAACACCTGGGGAGCTTTTAAAAAAGTACTAACTCCTAAACCGTATCCCAGACCGACTGAATCAGGAACCCTGAGGGTAGACAGGAGTCCATATTTTAACAAAGAAGCCTGGGGGATTCTGACGTAACTCCAGAAGCAGAGTCTGGAGACCCCAGATCTGAGCGCCAAGACTGGCCGGGGACGGAGTGGACACACCATGAAGTAGAACTGCTCCGTCTCCTGCTGGTTCGCTCTTCTCTTGGCGATGCTGGGCTTACTCAGGTACGTTTCTGAGACGGTAGACTTCACAGACTCGGTGGAGCGACTGTGCTGGAAGCATTCAGAGACATCGTAGTCCTCGATGGTGACCATATCTTGTATCGTCTGCAAGGTGGCCTCAGTCGTTTTCTTAACCTGGGAACAGGAACACATTCCTCCCACTAGTACGTCATTTCGTGAATCCCACAAACACTCAATGAGAATCCCCTCTGTCAGGCAGAGGTGAGGACACAGGCCCTGCCCAAGAGGCTGAGTCTATCAGGGGAGAGAGACAGGTAAACGACACCCCCATCACCAGTGCAAGGAGAGGCTTTCTTCAAAATTATCCTGAGGAGGATATTACCTTATATGAGTCCTTACAAATCCCATGTATTACAGGGTATGCTCTCAATTACATTTTTTTGGTTTTAAATAGACTTTTTTTTTTTCTGCTTTATCTCCCCAAACCCCCCCTGTACACAGTTGTATATCTTAGTTGCAGGTCCTTCTAGTTGTGGGATGTGGGACGCTGCCTCAACGCGGCCTGATGAGCGGTGCCATGTCTGTGCCCAGGATCCAAACCCTGGGCCGCCGGAGCGGAGCGCACAAACCCAACCACTTGGCCACGGAGCCAGCCCCTAAATAGCCTTTTTAACTCAAGTAAAACTACATACAGAAAAATGCACAGACCGTAAGAGTAAAGCTTGATGAATTATCACAAAGTGAACACACTTCCGTGACCACCGGTCAGATCAAGATATACAGAGCGTGACGAGTACCCCGTGCTTCTCTCAATCACCACACCCCGCCCCGTTCTCCTCCTCAAAGGTGGCCACTACCCTGATTTCCAACATCATATATTAGTTTTGTCCTTTTTGTACTTTATATAAACGGAATCCCACAGCATGTGTGATTTTTGTCCTGATTCTTCTGCTCAACTTTATGTAGTAAGATTTATTCATTTCTTGTGTGTGAATACAGTATTTCACTGCTGAATATTCATTGCAAGAATATATCATAATTCATCCCTTTTACTGTTGACAGATGACTTATTCTAGTTTGGGGCCATAATGAATCACACCGCTATGAACACATTTTTGTTGGGCCACATACATGAGTAGAATTGCTGCTTTACAGGGTATGCCAGATTGTTTTCCAAAATTAATGTTCTAATTTGTATTCCCACTAGCACAGCAGGAGAATTCCTGTTACTCCACTTCCACAAGAGGTGGTATTTTCAGTTTTTTTAAATTTAAACCATTTTGTTGGGTGTGTAGTGGTTATCTCATTGTGGTTTTCATATGCGCTTCTCTGATCACTAAGCTTGGGCACATTATCATACGTTTAAGGCAATCTGGATTACCTCTCTTGGAAAGACTGTTCAAATCTCTTGCCCAATTTTCTATTGGATTATGAGTCCTTTTCTAACTTAGTTATAGATATGGATACAAGTTTTCTGTGAGTTACATGTGTTGCAAATATGTTTTCCCACTCTGTGCTCTGGCTTTTCACTCTTTCTGTAGTGTCTAGATGAACAGTCTCTAATTTTAATGTAACCAATTTGCCAGTCTTTTCCTCTAGGGTTAGTGCTTTTTGTGTCTTATTTAGGAAATATTTTCCTATCTCATGACCATAAAGATACTGTTGTATGTTATCTTCTAGGAGATTTTAAGTTTGTCTTCCACATTTAGGTCGCACTCCACCTTTGCTTATCAAAGTCCAACGTAAATCAATAGCTTTACCCTTTCCCCAGACAACACACAGCGTTTAGAACCTCCTAACTCCATTGACTTCTCCTGATTTGTCTGCTATATCTTCAATGTACTATACGAGGATACATATATAAATATCTACATATATTTAAATACAAGACATGAGGTGTTATATATAGTCAGTATTCATTTAACTTTATCCACATATTTATTACATTCTTTGATCTCCATTCGTTATATATATATATATTTTTTAAAGATTTTACTTTTTCCTTTTTCTCCCCAACGCCCCCCGGTACATAGTTGTGTATTCTTCGTTGTGGGTTCTTCTAGTTGTGGCATGTGGGACGCTGCCTCAGCATGGTCTGATGAGCAGTGCCACGTCTGCGCCCAGGATTCGAACCAATGAAACACTGGGCCGCCTGCAGCGGAGCGCGCGAACTTAACCACTCGGCCACGGGGCCAGCCCCTCCATTCGTTATATTTTTAAGAGCATCCTCCCTTTAGAAATTCTTTTTAGTGTGAGTCTGCTCGTGGTGAACTCTGTTTTCGTTGACTTGAAAATGTCTTTTATTTCACCTTCATTTAGGAAAGATATTTTTGCTGGTCAGTAGTTATCTTCTTGACAATATCAACTGTGCTTTCTTGTGGCTTCTATGTTCCTGTTGAGCGAGAAGTTTGCGGTCAGTCTATCACTAGTTTGAATGAACTTTCCTTTCTTTCTCCAGCTGCTTTTAACGTTGCCTACAGTTTAACCATGATGTGTCCAGGTAGGAATTTTTTTTTTTTCTTGCTGAGGAAGACTCACCCTGAGCTAACAGCTGTGACAATCTTCCTCTATTTTGTGTGTGGGACGCTGCCACAGGATGGCCGCCACCGAGTGCTGCAGGTCCATGCCTGGGGAACCGAACAGGGGCCACCAAAGTGGAGTGTGCCAAATTTAACCACTAGGCCATGGGGCCAGCCCTAAGTAAGGATTTTTAAAATATATTCTACCTGGAACTTTTTTGGACTTCTTGAATTGTGTGATGTTTTTCGTAAGCTCTGATAAATTTTCAGCCTTTATCTTTGGATTTATTTTTATAAAACAAAAATATCTTTATATAAATATCTTTATATTGTCTCTACTTTCTTTTTTTATCATTTTTATTCCTGGGAATTTAATTAGTATGCTAAACATCACTGTGTTCTCTATATCTCTTACTCTTCTCTCTCTCTTCATATTTTCTATCTTCTTCTTTTTCCATGCTGCATTTTGATTATTTTCTTCTGACTTGTCTTCCATTTTCATAATTCACTCTTCAGCTGTGTCTCATCTGATGTTAAAACCATCCACTGATTCATTAATTTGGGTTATTGTATTCTCAGTTCTGGCATATCTGTGTGGTCCATTTTCAAATCTGTTATTTCACTGTTATAGGTTATAGTTCCCTGCTAAAATCTAAGCTTGGCTTTTATCTCTTTGAACACAGTAAAGTAGCTCTTTTACAGTTTATTTCTGATAATCTCAATATTTGGAGTTCCTGTGAGTATGTCTCTTTGTCTGTAATTTATTCTATCACTCATGGTTTCTTGTCTAGTCATGCCTAGTTATTTTTGCTGGACATTTTCTGGAGAGTTATTTGAGGTCTAGAGTGAGGTTATCACCCTCCAGAGAGAATATTTATTTTTCCATGCCATTAGGGACACTAAGTTCAGAATCACTGGATTTTATTTCTGTTCAAAATATGTGATGCTCTTCCTTTTGAGAACATATGGTTCCCTGTGTCATGGGCTTCAGGTTTGGCCATGCACCTCGTCCTGGACAGTGAAATCTGAAAGAATCAGCTGAGTGATTCAGTCCACAATTACAGAAAGTAGAAATATTTTCAATTATCATTTTTTTAAAAACAACAAAATACCGTTTAGGGGAGAAACAACAGCAATCAGTGCTAGTTCAGATGCTTAAAGAGGTCATGTGATAGAATAAGTTCAAAAAGGAGGCCAAGAAATTTAACAGACTTAGTCATTATTTCTGGGGATATGCACAATACAAAGGATAGATATTATTGGAGAAAAGCATACTGAAGATCACTAAAAACACAATATGGTAAGTAGTTACTTTAAGGAAGTCATGACTGTATACCTACAGGCTGAATGAAAAGACTCCCCACCCTAGAGGTGACATGGGCAAGACTATGAAATAGGAGGTCCCCTGCTCACATCACCCACAGCAACAATAATTTGGTAGCCATCCATTGACAAAAGTACATCCAGGTAGGAGCCTGCAAAACCTTGGTGGAGCCCAAGACTGAGGAGAACTGATTTGAGAAGGCAGGCCTGTGCCCGGGTGGCAGGCATGCCAACCGTGATCCCTACTATAGGTGTGGAAACAGCCCTGTCCCCCTGTGTACTCAGCTGTGGTCCTTTTTGGCCTTGGTTCTGCTCACTACCACCATCCACCAAGGGACCCAGGAGGCATCACGCCCACCTATTTCTCAAGTAACAGGCCCACTGACCTTGGTCCTAGCTGTGGACCCTGCAGCAGCCCATGATGCAGTTCCAGTCTCTCTCAGCCCTGGTCCGGGAGCAGTCCTATGCACCCAGGAACCTGCTGGAAGGTACACTTGTCCGTGCTCCCGGAGGCAGACCTGCTTACCTCGGTCCACCTGCAGATCTTGAAGTGGTCCTGTAACTCTGCTCTAGCCCCTCCTAGCCACAGCCCAGGACTAGTTCTGCATACCCAGGGACCCAATGGGAGACATGGCCATCCATGCTTCCAGGAGCAGGTCTGCCAACCTTGGTCTGACTGCAGATCTTGAAGTGGCCCTGGAGCCAGCTACAGCCTGGGAGCACTTCTGCTTGACAAGTGACCAGGCAGGAGACACGTCCGCCTGTTCTTATGGAAGCAGGCCCACCAACGTTGGTCCAACTGTGGACAATGATGCGGCCTGTAACATGGTTCCAATACCTCTTAGCAATGGTCTATGAGACGTCATGCCTGCCCAAAGACCTACCAAAAGACAAGCCCATTCGTATTCCCAGAGGCAGGCCTACCAACCTCGGTCCAACTTTGGATCTAGAAGCAGCCCTGTAACCTGGCTCGGGTCCCTCTCAGCAGCAGTCCAGGCATGGTCCTGCCCACCCAGGGACCTGGAGGGAGACATGCTCATCTGCATGCCCCCAGAGGCAGGCCTGCAGACCTTGGTCCTGGCTGTGAACCCTGAAGGACCTGTGACTCACTTCCAGCTGTGCTCAGCTGTGGTCTGAGGCCAGTCCTGCCCAGCCAGGGACCTGTCCCATGACATGGCAGATGCCACACTCATTCAGGCACCTGGTAATAGATATGCTATCTGTGGACCAACTGTGGTCCCTGAAGCGGACCCCCGTCCCAGCACCAGACTTACTGACCGAGGTTTTGGAGGCGGTACTGTCTGCCCAGGGATCCAGGCTCGCTGGAGCCCT